AAGAAAAAATAATAGAGGTAGAACAGAGTCAAGAGGTGTGTGTTCTAGATAGTGTGTGTTTGTGTGTGTGTGTGTGTATTTGGGGGTGGGGGGGGATCAAATCTAGTACCCCGAAGCTTAAAAATATTAGGCAATCATATAATGTAATTGACTCTGTTTGGATGCCTCCATACTTTATGCGCTGATTGGATTGATCTATTGAGACCCTGTAGCCAAACAGCAGCTGATTAAAATTTGTAAATTAAAAAGGGAGAAATGTGCACAGCAGAAACACAATGCAGCCTACGAGTCCTAATAGATAAAGCAATCACGCCGCAGAAGAACACAACCCATTGAGGGGTTGGTAACAATTGGTTCCCATTGTAAAGTTTCATGAATTAGTTTTTAGATGTTTAATTCCTGCAGAGTTCTAAACTAAAGCTTACTATGTGTTTGAACTGTTTCTGTCTTACCTGGTGTCAGTATAGACAAGGTTAGTCATCTATTGCTGATGAAAAGCTGATGACAGTGGGGGACATTGTGGTCTCCTAGTTTATATAAAGGCAGAAGGAAAAAGCATTGAACATTGCACGGTATGAGGAGACTAACTGATAACAAAAAGATTTCACACAAACCTCCCTGAGCTTCATTCATTCAAATTAGCTACATGATTATTAACCGAATCTATTCATAATATTGCAAACAGTCCCAAATACCCAATTAGATCCACTTTTCCTGCCTCAGAACCAGACTTCTGTCTAGTCTAGTGAACCTGATACCCCTTTTAATTTGGGCCAATGAAATGTCTGGCTTTTCTGCAAGTCTTAAAATCCTGGGCATCTGATTCAACTGATGATTCGATTTATGAATAATATGATGGCAAGGATGGCCAGGCAGTCAATTGGGGAAGATAAGATTTTCCTGGCAATTCTGCACCATGTGAGCAAGATTCAGGCAGGAAAGAGAAAGAAAAGAAAAGAAAAGAAAAGAAAAAAGAATGAAAGAAAGAACAGTTGAATTGCAATTTTGATCGTGGTTTCAACTATTGCAATTTTTTCTTTCATAGATGAACTTTTTATTCAGTTTGACACCTTTCAATGACGTATGGCAGCCAAAACAAGTAACCATCATGTCAGTGACAATTTAGTAATTTTGTAGAAAGTCTTTACTGATTTTGTTCTCCTATTTCTGTGCAGAGCCAATACTTCAGAAGAAAAAACTTCAAGACTCCACATGCCTCTGCAGGGGCTCCTGTTGGACAAGCCAAATCCAGCAAATCATAAGATTTAAAATTGTTGAAGATTAGAGGCATATATTAATGACACAGCATTACTGAGTCTTATTTGTTGGAAATATGTATTGACGTGAAGAAGTCTAAAAGCCAGGGGGCTGTTGGAGACAGTGATGTTAAAAAAAACAGAGACGTACATAAACTTCCAGAGACCACGACGTAAGCAAATACCCCTCAGCTTCAACAATCACTAACTAAAGAGTGTCAAAAGCTTCACATTTCCCAGATTATCAAATCTGTCAGCCTCTGGACATCCTTTATGTGAACCTTTCAAACTGCACCAATTAAAAAAAAAAATAAAAAATTACCAAACAGCAAAACAGAATTTACCTCCATAAGCTGTTATGGAGGCAATGCTAGACTGCTAATCAGTGTAAACATTTTTTTCAACTACATTTATTTAATCGATTTTCTGTTTAGTTTGTTTACAGTAAAAAAAATAAAACACACCAACATGAGATAATATATATATATATTGAGAAATGACATGGCTAAGATATTGAGGAGCTATCAATGTTTCCTATTGTAAAATGAAACCCATGTTTAGTTTGTGGCAAAGGCATAGAACGTGGGCCTCTATCTACATATAAGAAACATGTGAGCCCAAAGCACTGTTTTGGTTCAAACAGTGATTTGTACATTAAATGATACAAATAGCTCTATGAAGGTCTACAAACTTGTTTACATACTGTATAATGAAAATGAGGAAATGGATTAAGGTAACAATATATGATAAAGTGATATAAAGTTTTACCAGTGAAAGTTAAGATCATATACGTAGTCTGGCAATCTTGCACGCTTTACAGAGGATTCCAAATTTCTTGTCATAGATTTATTGACGGCTTTTTTACAAAAGAGGCAATACAAAAGGTTTTAAAAGTACCTAAAAGTAGTCTTATTAAAACCGATATTATTGCATTGATATATTATCATAGGTATACTATACCTAAAGAGTTGGGAGAATGTTAATATGGCAAAAGTTGGATATTTTACAACAGTATGCTGTTTAATATTTGTATATGGCTATATCTTGTGGTTTTTCCCAACATCCTGTTGCATTCCTTTCAAAACTTTCTGTGACATGTGAGCCTCAGCTTAAATGCTCAGAGTTCCCAGGACCTTTTCTGATTCAACAAGAAGCCCAACTAGTGACACGGCTTTAGGATTTATAGGTCGAGGCCTCCAGCTAGGTAGCAGGCTGCATCACAGCCTGGGCGGCCCAGTGGTAGCACAGCTTCCATCTGTCCTTGCAGTCTGCTTGAATTTGCATGCTAATCTTTGCCTGACTACACCTTCACAGAACACCTTTTGCAGAGCTGCTGCCCCCCACTGTGCTTTAGGGATGACAAATTAGCAGGTAAGGAACCACAAAGACACCAACCTGAGGGTGATGGGATGTGAAACACAGATAGAGAAAAGTCAACAAGATAAGGACCACAGTGGAAAAGCCTCATATTCCAACTGAGACATGTTTACACCATTCTGTTTTCTATTTTCGGTGGATGGATGTTCCCAAATTTATGAAGAGCATTTAGGGGATAGGACAAGGCCAGCTATTTGTCATTACATCGGAAATAAAATCTAGTTGGAATTAAATTAGGTCTGAATGTGTTGAAGTGTGCCTCACTGCATCTGTTAGTAGATGTAGCCTTTAGCAAAAGTCTTCCAAAGCTGACTAATCATTTGTGTATGCAGATATTATAAGCTTTGAATGTCTGAAAATATATATCATCCATCACAGCATGATTGTAACGTCTTTGGGCAAGAAAAGGGCACTGCAAGTAGGTGTGGCATATCTTAGATCTAATAAATATACATTTCCTCAGGGCAAGAGGAGGAAGCGGAGAGTTCTAAGGATTCATTTCCTAGTCTGCCAAGAGAGCTGATAAGGTTTGATACAGTGTGTGCATGCAAAATTATACACTCAGCCACTGGGTTTTGGTACTTCATAAATTCATGTCCTTCTGTAAAAATCTCAGATCTCCCTTATATCAAAAGGGTAAAAGTTTACTTTAAGTAGATAAAATGCCCCTACTTGTCATCCTCCCTGTAATGTAGGTGAAGCACATAATGTATAGAGATACATTCAAAAACAATTTTACAGAGAAAGAACTGCTTAAATATTATAAATTACAAAATATAAAATTCAAAGCCAAGCATAACTGAAAATTTACTTTTTTTTCCTGTGGCTATTAGATTAGTTTTCTCAGTTGCAAAACCAATAAATAAATAAGCAATTGCTTAAAGTGGATTTTGTTTAATAAAGTATAAACCTGTTGTGTAAAGGACTTTAAAAAGTGTAGTGCAACTTAGATTTTAACAACACTGGTTTAAAAAAAGATGGAAAATGATAAAAAAAAAAAAAAAAAAGCTTTCAAAGGAATTTACCTAAATTGTGCTTTTTCAAAGTGTCAGCTATTCTAACTCAGACCAAGTTAAGAGAACATTTTGGGCCGGATTTATCAAGATCCAATTTTGCGTGCAGTAATTTGCGCTCGCAAACTGGAATTTTGCTCGAGGGGCTGAACCATGGTTTGTGGGTGATTTAACAAGAGTGATTGCGTAACTGGTGGCAGGTGCAAAACTGTTGGAGACGCCCTATTTAAATGATGGTTTTGCGCGTTTTGTGGTTTGCGGCAAAGTAGTTTGTAGTCTGTACAAACTAGTGCATTAAGAAATTTAAATCTTACAGTGACCCCCTTAAAAAAAAAAAAAAAAAATATATATATATATAAATTTGCAACCTTTATTCCCTAAGGTGGTATGTGGCTGAATTTCTACTTCACTGCAGTAAAAAAAAAAAAAAAAAAACAGGTGTTTTGTATTGGCCTGTGACTGTGGATGAGATTACTGCGCGTATGCATCCCCGCAGCATTTGGCACGTTGCTCCACAGGCGCAGGGGGAGAACCCCGACCCCATCGGACCCCGACCCCATCGGACAGCACTTCGGACAGCACTTCTGAAAAAACGAGATTGGGAGATCCCAGCTCTCGCTGCAACCGTACGCTGGAATGACCCAGATGCAAAAAAGTGCAATGTTGCAAGGAGTTTTGTGATATCTGGTATTGCGTGGGTCCTCCTTGTGGCTGGCTCCAAATCCATTCGGAGTTCCCCCAACAGCTCCAAAATGGCAATGCTGGATAAACGATATGTTTTGATGATCGTTTCCTCGTTCATTCCAAAAATATTCACACGGAGTGAAAAAATGCGTTCTCTGCGTCTCCCCGCTTCATTTCGATGTCTCATTCTTGCGACAATAACCGCTGCCATGTGTGCGCAATTACGCATACAGACCATTTACACCTTCTTTTGAAACGTGTTAAATATAGAGTCAGATACCGTTAGCAAAATTGCTATCAGGTTTAATAAACCACTTTGCGAGTGCTAAATTAATATATTTACATGTCCTCCTCCCACAAGACGCACTTTTGCGTGTAAACGCCCCATATTGCATATTCATTGCAGAAAAAGTACTAAATGGATAAGAGGCGCTATTTAGCACGTTTTAAAGACCAAATCCTTTTAGCACGCTGTTCATAGATCAGTTTGTACATTTTTTAGCGTGCGCAGTGAAACAGCTCACGTTTTTATACACGCAAACCTTTGATAGATCCGGCCCTTTCATTTATGTTTAGATCTCTAACATGTGCCAAAAGCACATTTTGTAGTTTAGAAATCGGATGTAATTTCCATTTCATCCTTATCAGTTTCCGACATAAATCTGTTTACCATCACAGAGATGTGTAGTATGCGCATCTCTTCCTTCGAAGAGTCGTTGGCGGGGTCTTCAGTTGGTTCAGGTAGGTTCACACTGCCGTCCTGATGGTGGATGTGAAAAAGAAGTGTCCCATTCTCCAGCCACTGCTGCCGCCAGCGCACCAGAGGGATGTCCTCAGAGTTCCCAGAGATCTCTAGCAAATATAAAACACACCAAGTAAATAATACTGGTACAGTATTACAATATGAGTAATACAGATCTGCAGCAATCCTATTATTTTTTTTAACAAAGAGAGAAATTAATCAATATGAAAGGTAAATGCTAACTTTATTGGAGGATAATATTCAGGATTTTTTACAAGCATTATTTACAGTTTAGAATTTATAATGTTACGAAAATAACCTTTTTAGGCAAACAGTAAAAAAGGCTATACAAATTAAAAGAGGAATAAAGGGGAAAATAATTAAAACATCAGGGCATTTTGATGTTTTTTATTTTACTGTGTTGCAGTTTTTCATAGCTGCAGATTACACTGTAAAATAATCTATTTGGCCAGGACAAGACTAATCCCTGTTGTGAATTCTGAAACTGGTCTGAAATAAAAACCAAACTCTCAGTTCAAAGTAAGTTTGATTTTAAGAAAGAAAAAAAAAACATCCCAAAATTGTTGAACCCAGGAGACAAAGATGAGTAAATAGAAACGTTAGGGAAGCAGCAGCTCATGAGAAACACAGAGCTGGAGTCGTATCTCGATTTCCTCAACAGTACATTGAACCTCCGGTTTGTTAAATTAGTGATGGATGCAAAAGCCTATAGAGAGAGTAAAGAAATAGGAAACATTATAAATGCATGACCGAGCCTCACAGATGGTACTTTGTCATGCAAATATTCTATGTAGCGAAGATGAATCACACTCAATTCTTGAGAGATACTTGGAGACCCTCATTGAAAGAGCTGAGAAGGTAATCTAACTCCAGCTCTGCCACTTGTTCAGCACTACAGAATCCTTTTCAAGCTAAACATACTGCATGTGTAGGACAAGTTTACTGTCACATCTTGAGGTTCTCTTTTCAGTGCACTGTAACTATTTTTTAAATATCACTGATGCAAACACCTCAAAATAAAGTGATTAGTTCTCAGTTTACTGAGTTTGTCCAGCTACTGTCGTCAATAGTCAGTCTAAATTGTCTCTAACACATCTTGAAAAGATTACTCTTACCTTCTCTTGCACCCAGCATGAAAGACCCAGTTAATTTCCTACCTTGACAACTAAGCTTTAAGAGTTCACCTAGCTATGCATATGCTCAGGAATTTGGGGATCGCTCACGCTTCATCAGTCAAAATGGGAAGAGCTATGTGCTTATCTGACAACTTTCAGTGTTTTAAGAAAACCTTTTTCTGCAGATGTTTTTTTTCAAACCCCCAAAAACGCACGAAATTTAGGGACAGATTTTACTTGGTTAGAAATATTTACTAAATCAAGACAATCAAGAAAAAGACATAAATCTAGAAATAAATCAGAAGGGAAAAAAACAAGCAAAATCTTTTTTTTTTAAGTATCTGTTAAATATTTGGCTTTAGTGAGCATTGGCTTTTAATTGATAAATGATTACAGCTATTTTCCAAGAAAACCTATTTACAAGCTATTGATTCGAATACTTAATGTATTGTAAACAGTGATCTTACTTAAATTCCATGAAGGATTACTATGGAAACCACCACTACCGCAAGAGACAATTACTCTAATTGGCACCAAGATCCAGTGTGGCACACTCATCTTTAAAGAAACATGTATCACCATGGCTGAATGTCTATTCAAATCTACTGAATAACAAAACAAATAGCCAATAGTTACCGAAGCAGCACTGATGGATACAACAACCAACTGTGATGGATGATACACTGAATGGAGACAATGCATTAAGAAGTAGTCTGTCAGAAATCATATTCTATACTATGTAGAGAAACTGTACGTATATGGCTGCTAAAATAGGATTTTGCTTTATCAAAAGAACATTGCAAAAAATGTGTGGTAAACATTGACAGAGGTTTAGAAGATCCCCAACGTCATAAGCCATTAGCAATTTGCAGGATAGTGTTGATATAAAGCAATAAAATATCAAAGCTCTCCCACGTTGTGAAATCTACTTCAAAATATATATATGTATATATATATATATATATATATATATATATATATATATATATATATATATATATATATATACACACATATATAAACACAGAGTAACCTAATGCCACACAGCACTTTTACATTGATCAGACCAAAGATATATAGCTCCAAGCGAGACTTTACTGCTGATCACGAGCTTTTACAGCCCAGTTTGAAAAACTTCAGAATCAAATTACACAGCCGTTTCAGCTGCACCTTGTGAATGCTAAAGAGCTGAAAGCTTAAAACATATCTGTTAATGTCATTCTCCTAACTAAACGAATCAACATACTAGTAAAAAATTTCAGCCTTAGTATATTTTTGAATTGATACACTAAGCTGATTTAACCAGTTACTGACTGTCATAGGAACCTCAAATGAAGTTAGACAACTGTTTATCTTGTTTTTTCAAAGATGAAAATAGGATATTCAAATTTGTTCTTGCTAACGATTAAGAATTAGGTAAAGGATCTATATTTTCTCAGTAAAAAAAACATGGAGAGTGTTGCTTTATTAATGCAAATTGTATAAATGGTTTATATGAAAGTCTCCTTTGGAATATTAGTAAAAGCTTGTTTTCAAGACTTGCTTTTCAGGAGCAAGCAGTGATGTTTCTGCTTCACCATTATATGTCATTAAGAATAACACATACCATCAAAGCTAAGAAATAAACAAATAAAAATACTGCTCTACTGACCCTCTTGAAATGGCTCAAGAGATATTGTTAAAATAACTAATGACAAGAGTAACCTGTACAAAAACCAAAGATTGCAATTCACTGATAAAATTGTAATTAGTGAAACCCTAAAAGGAAAAGTCCGGGTTTACCCGTTTCATAGAAACTAAGTACAATTTGAAACAATGTACCATTAGTCCTTCAATTTTAAGAAATGTAGAGTATAGGAAGAGCCCATTATAGAAAAGGGTATGAGTGGCTTTCTACTCAGAAAAACTGATTTTAGGATGAGTTCTAGCTTCAAGATTTTCTCTTTTTGCCACTGCTGAATAATTTAAATTAAGTAAAAAAAAAAGAAAAAGTCAATTGTGGACTGCATGTTGATGCCACAATTGTTGCCTTGCGGCAAGAAGGTCTCGGGTTTGATCCCTGCCATAGGGGTTTCTGCACAAGGTTTACATGTTTTCCCTGGGTCCTGCCAAGGCACTCTGGCTTATTCCCACAGACCAAAAACATGACTTTTAGATAAACTGGTATCTCTCAAAGTTTTGCAGGTGTGTATGATTATATTAGTTACCCTGTGATGAACTGGAAACCTGACCCGGGTGTCGCCTATGTTTCACAAATAGATTGTTGAAGATATGCATCAGTGACTCTGACAGACAAGTAGTAAAAGATGGTTAGATGGAGGTTCATTGTCATACTGGCTCAACCAAAATCTTACAAGCCACGCCATGATATTTACATGAGGTAAAACATGTTATTGCTCCTACAATATATTTCTATGCTAGTGTAGAAACAGTAAAAAAATGGATATGCTAAAGAACTACACTGCAGTGAATGTTTAAATTCAAAAATGTATATATTTTACAAAATTTAAGGAGGTCCCACTCAGATGTTGTAACAATGCCCTGGTAAATATTTCAGCTAATAATTGGGGGCCATGCATAAATTGTTTGCAGCAGTGAACTTTTTTCCACAGATAGAGCAAACAAAAAAAAAAGCAAGATGGTGACATTACGGAAAAAGTCTGTGTAAAGTTTAGACACTTTTTGTTACCTCTGGGGACACGACAAAAGACCATGGTGCTCAATGAGCTCTTATCTTTATGTTTAAGCCTATTTCGTATAAAAATAATGCAGCAAGATACTGTATTTTGCAAGATAGGATCATGTTATTCAGCAGTCTACATTGTTTGTTTACAACTGTCTATAGGCTTTGCCACATAAATTGAAATTAAGGCTTAAAATGATTTCCTTTCTTGGTTAAAAGGGGATAAATTCTGCATGTCACATGACCAAAATAGGCTAACATGTTCTCATTACATTAGATTGTTATATTAGAAATGTAATCATGTTAAAAATGCTTTGCGTAAATGACCACGGAGCTACATCAGGTATCCTTACAGAAAGTCTTTGGAGTTAAGATATAATTGCCAAAAGGTGCAGAAGCTGCATCAGTTATATTGTAATACTTACAGTAGTAGCCATTCAACATTTCCCAGCTTTCCTCGATGGGCCCCTGGCTGGTGCCCTACAATTCCTTTTTTAAACATCGATCTTTGTACTAAAATATTCTGTCAGGATTTGTGGACATTAAGATCTAAACAGAAATGTCATCTCCTGATCAGACCCTGTAATTCAGTAAAAGGCAGAGTCAGAGTAAAAAAATATGCACGCCCAGGAGAAGGAGGGGGTCACACCAGTGGCTGGAAGTTGGAGGGAATTTTGCTAGGAGTTGCAGGGAAGTGGGCTGCCATTCTACTGGTGTTTGACTGGGAAGAGCCATTTTAAATGGCTGCTACTGTATACCAAACCAGTGACTGAAGCAGTAAGAAAGAAAATAAGGAAGGAGGAGGAAGGAAGAGGAGCATGGTGTAAACAATGAATGGAGGAGAGAGAGAAAAGTCCTGCTGCACAAAACTGGTTCAGTTAATCTGAACTTTCAATATGTGAGCCTGATTAAAAAAAGCTTTCCTCTCCCTTCTCCGATACGCATTTAAAGTAGCTATCAAACTGATAGCATTCATTGTTGGATGGCAAACTCATTCTCTTAGCATCATCCATGTAAGCACTTACATGCCCTAAACTATTTATGATAATAGCTAATAGCATTAATATTTTGTGCACATGCAATACATGCATACAATTACAATTCAGTGCTTCACCTCACTCTGTACAAGCATCAAACCTTCTTGTCAGACATCCCATTAGGCTGATTATTTGCTTTTGTTGTATTACTTTTCATGTATTAGTTTTTTGTTGTATAATGGCCAGAACCTTTTTAAAGATTATAACCTGTTTACAAAAAAACTTTGCTTTTTTTCTTTGATATCACTCTGTAT